CACAAGAGGTATTAATTAAAGGTTTCTTCTAATTATGATGTACAAAAATAAAATCTTAATTGACTTTAAAGTATTGAGTAAATTGAAAGAAACNTCTTAGTATTAGTTCTATCAAAAGTTAAAGTAGATGTGATTACAAGTTTGCCTAACACAAGAGGTATTAATTAAAGGTTTCTTCTAATTATGATGTACAAAAATAAAATCTTAATTGACTTTAAAGTATTGAGTAAATTGAAAGAAACACCGTCGCCTGAGAGATTCGAACTCTCGCGGGGAAACCCCATGTACTTAGCAGGCACACGCCTTAACCACTCGGCCAAAGCGACATCTTATATTTAGGGAACTCATTATATTATTAATAAACGATGAACCGTCGCAACAGAATGAAACGCACCAACTACCACCGGGTCCCACTCTCTTCTTTCTTCTTCTTCTTCCTCCTCCTCCTTTCCCCCATTTCTTCCCCCCTTACTTACGATTTACGAAACAAACAAAAAATAAACCACTTTTGTCTTTCCCATCACAAAAAAGTGTCCACCCCACTAATATTCTTTGTTTTTCCCACTCACCACCAAATGTCCACCACTACAACCGCAACTCCACCACAGCACCACCACACTTTCTGGTGTCACGAGTGCGACATGAGCGTCTTCCTCCTCCACCTACCCTCTACTGATCCTCCTCGTTGTCCTCACTGCCATTCCGATTTCCTCGAGCAAATGGACTCTTTTACCCCTACCCTTCTTCCTCAATTCCCAAATCAACCTGATTCTAACCCTAACCTTGAAGACCTCATATCCACGGACCTCAACACCGCGACCAATTTCACTCCCTCCGACGATAACTTCCTCCTTGACAGTCCTTATCTCCACCGTCTAATCCACCATCTCACCACCGCTAACGACGCTCCCATTCCCAATCGTCAGCACAGCCCGGCTTCTAAAGCTGCCATGGAGGCACTTGAGGGAATAAAAATTAGCTCATTGATGCTTGAGAATGATCCGGTTATTCCTTGTCCGGTCTGCAAGGACAACTTTTTACTGGACATGGAAGTGAAAATGTTGCCTTGCAAACACATGTATCATTCGGATTGTATTTTGCCGTGGTTAGAAGTGAATAATTCGTGTCCAGTTTGTAGGTTTAAGTTGCCGACTGAGGAGGAGGATGATGAGGAATGCATTAGACGACGCGAGAGGTTTCTTGGGGCAATGAGGCTTGGAGAGATATTGGCCGAGGAAGAGGATTTGTTTGGGTTTAGGCGTACGCTTAGGCGTGTTGCCAGGAGGCATCAGCTGGACGGGGGAGAGAGTACAATTGGCCAGGCAGGTCAAGGAGTTGGGGTTGTGGCTAGGGCGAATAGCGTGGAGACTGTGTCGAGTTGGCCGAGTTGGCCAGTGGAAAATGGGAGTGATGGTGATGAAGTAGGTGGGAGTGATAATAGACTTGGTGGTGGTCAAGGGGATACTACTGTCGTCAGGTCTTGAAACTGGCCTTTGTTTCATTTAAGCAATGTTCAGGTATGCCTTTATTGTTGTTTTTCTGCAGAATTATTGCTTTATGTTTTTTGGATTTACTGTGCAATGTTGACTGTTCGTTCTTCTGATAATAAACTTGATATGTTGATTTCTCTTAGTGGTCTTATTTGTTATGATTAAACTACTTTTAGATAAAGTACTAGCATTTACTGCTTCTTAATATGAGCATCTTTTTGTCCCATTTGGAGCGTATATATAATTAGGATATATGATGTTTCAATTGTACATCAACTGTGCATCTAGGTTTTATTTTAAATCTTGCATTCGATAATGCAACATTTCTATCCATTAAAACTGAGGACCTTTAAATAATGGAAGCTGCAAAATATTGGCGTATGGGCAATAGTGAATGAAAGAGAGCCTTTGCAGAACGGTAAAAGTTGTCGCCATATGACCGGGAGGTCACATGTTCAAGCCGTAGAAACAGCCTCTTGCAAAAATGCAAGGTAAGGCTGCATATGTAAGACCCAATGTTGTCTGACCCTTCTCCGGGCCCGCGCATAGCGGGAGCTTAGTGTACATGACTGCTTTTTTTATGATGGGCGATAGTGAATCATTTGAATCTAATCTACCAAAGTGAGTAGCTTGGTATGTATAACCATGAAACAAGAGAAAGTGGTTCAGTACCATTTTTCTGTTCTTATAATTATGTGTTCAGTACCCTTTTATCCAATTAGGGGAATAGAAATAGATTATTTTTTTGGACTGCGTGCATTCAGATTCTGCTTAGGTAACATGCTTTCGATAATGTAAATAGAGGTGCGGTTGGGACTTGGGAGTCAATGGCGTACGCAAGATTTTTCGGAAGTGGTGTCACATTTAAAGAAGCTAATGAATAAACAAATCACTATAACAATGACATACGTTCTACAAAAGAAAAAAGAACAATCAGCTTTTTGAAGATATGCTCTTATTATTGCAATATTGTTATTTAATTGATATTTTTGAATTGTTAATTTTTCCTCCGGATCAGATTTTAAGAAACTAATCAACGACTTCACTTACAATGGGAACAACAGCGAGCTCAATCCCCCAAAATAGCAAATTGCAGTGAAAGATAATAGTTTCCAGAGTTACAATTTTGAATTTGCTAATATAACTCCGTTGTAGGGTTTTATATATATAAATGAATTGTTACTGGTGTATTGGTTTAGTGTTGCCTTTTTTAAGTGAGAGGTCCGTTGTACAAGCCCCAGTCATGACATATATTTTTATAGCAGACTCAAAAAATTATTAAAACACACAAAATGCTAATAGCGAGGGTCGAACACACGCCAACACACTGAAGATTGAGGCGCCCAACCACAACTAGGAACCACTTTGCAAGCGGTGTCATTTTAACTTTCTTAGAACTATCACGCTTTCTTGCATTTTATTTGTGCATATATTTAGTAAAATTTTCCGACGAACGCTTCAACCAAGGTGCGTCCTGCCCTGTTGGGCATTATAATAGCTTATGGGTTGTAGGTTCATAAGTTGTTATTTGGCAAGGTGTGAAAGTATGCAATACTTTGTTCTGCAGCTCTTACTCGGACAGGAGCTTGTGTTTCAAAATACTAACCCATACTACTCCAAGCTTAAGTACAATAAGAAGTATTGAAAGTCAAGATAACTTATCTTGACTTTCAATACTTATTATTGTACTTAAGCTTCTCAATACTTATTTGATATGTTACCTTCTCCAAAAACAAAAAAAGAAGCCAAGATAACTGATGTAGTTAATGTTAGAATATATCTAGGTTAGTAGTATGCTATATTATTAACGGAGTAATGGTTGTGTCATAAATATGATTCTCGGTAATTAGGAAAGTTTCATTAGTCTAAATTTTCTTTACTCTATATAGTCTAAAATTTCTGTATTTTTGTGCAGTTAAGATCCTATATAAGGAACCTTCTTATATGTCGTTCTCAATTAATTTCAGTAAGAGTTTTCTCTTCTTTTTTTGTCAATTTGGTATCTGTGTCGATGATCTGGGCAAAGACCTAAGTAGCTTCATCTTGTCATTATTTTACTTTTCCTGTCTTCTGGCAGCAATGTATTTTCTGACAATAATTTGGGCTTTTCCTTCAACTTCTTTTCAAGGAATACATTCATCAAAACTCTTTGTTGATTTTTCTTTTTCCTGGTATCAGATTTTGGGTATTGAACCCCTCCTATTATCATTGAATTTTCAGTAACTGTTCTGGAAATGTCTTATTCTCTTGTCTTTCTTTATGGGTATTAGGGCCTTGATATTAAGACTCTCTTATAGACATTGAATTTCCCTTCATTGTTTTGACAAATTTTTCAGTTACCCTTCAGCCACCAAGTTACTCTGAGAGTTGCATCATTATACTGCTTTTGATGACTAAGAATAGATTTCTTTCTTTGCATGCTGCGAGAAGTACTTTCTTTGTTGTGAAATTGCTAATGACATCGTTTTGACCTACTATTCCTATGATTGTTCCCTCACTTGTAACTCTTGCTGCGATACGCACCTTGAATTTCCAGTTTTGCTTTGCAAACTCAAGTTGTTTTCATTACCATGAGTTTGATGAGGCGTAATGAAAGTCAAGAGAATTAATGTTGTTATATGCTCCTCCCTCTGTCCCTATTTATGTGAAGGGAATAGGAGTACAAGGGTCAATGCACTTAGTTTTCTGTGTGGATTGGAGCTAGATTCTTCAAGTTTTTAAAAGTTAAATTTACATATTTGAAAATTGCATATAAAGTACTACAAGTTAACATAGTTAATGATTCGAAATATTTAATAAGTGTTCGAGAAAGTCGTAGTAAAAAAACTTTTTGACTCCCACCTTCACATAAAATAGATTAGAGAGTGTAAATATACTTAGGCTAGTAGTCCGAGCTTTCCTAATGATTGTCTTACTTAGGAAATTTGGAAAAAAGGGAAGTTTCCATAGCTTAAATTTTTGTTATTTCATATATTCTATATGTTTCCTTATCTCATGTAATCTAACTTGCTATATAAGAAGCTCTGTCATTTGTACAATAAAAATTTTCTTTCTTCTTTTTCTCATCATGTATCACAAAGTAGAGAAAGATGTTTCAAGTTGATGCTTAAAGGGGGGATTTGGTTATTGGCCACTATTCAGATGCCTCTAAAGCTGATAATATTGCACTTCTGGAGTTTTTTCTTTTCCTTTTTTTTTTGGTTGAAAGAAAGGTAAGGAATAATGCACTTCTGGAATCTGGAGTTATTAAACTAATTCTTCACTCTATCGGGTTTCTTGAGCCGAGGGTCTATCGGAAATGGCCTCTCTACTTTTTAGGTAGAGTTAAGGTCTATGTACATACTACCCTCCCCTGACCTCACTTGTGGGATTATACTGGTTTGTTGTTGTTGTTGTTGTTGTTAACTCGATCGGATTTCACATTAGTTTTAACTAGGGATAGTAGCTGGGAGAGTACCCTAAGGTCTATAATGCACCAACCTCCCTAAAGCTCATAGCCAATGCTGAACCTTAGCACATGGAATATTTTTGCAGCCTATCCTTGGTCCAATTCAAAATCATGTTTTGCTCCTTTACGAGAAAAAGAATATAACTTAGGGGTGAAAAGGTGCACTTTTCATAATGGGTAACATTTTCTTCACGAGTATAAATGCACTAATGAGGTGTTACATTTTCTTAAACAAAATTGTTTTCAAAGAAGTCCATAAAATACAAAGAGCTTGCTTATCCATCTACATTACTCTCTTCAGTGTCTGGTATTAAAAGTCATTGCTTCGTCGCGTAAAGCGATGAATCGATACAAAGCGAGGGTTGTCGTTTAATAGGTGAGGCTATGTGCTTCAGCGAGGTGTGCGCTTTAAATAGTAACTCACAAAGTGATCCAAACACATCTCAACATTGAGGAGTTAGATTAATATATGGATATAAAAAAAAGGAGTTAGATTTATAACGGTATTCTGGTATATTGGATGCTGAAATTAGTTGTTTTGATTGCAATTTGTTATTATAGTCCTAAATTCATATATGCTTTGTATTTTTAAATTTTTTGTAATTGTGCGCTCTACTTCAAAGAAGCGTGCACTTCACTTCTTGCTTTTCACTTCAAGGCCTATGGACCTTATTGCTTCTTTGCGCTTTTCGCTTAAGTAGACGTCTTGGCTTCATACCAAAAACTTGCAATTGGAGGAAGCTTCTTCCCTGTGTTTGACACACTTATAAGAAGCTTTTCCATGTCAGTGTGCTTCATTACATTGTCATTCCTGTGTATGATACATTTAATTTTATTAATAATTCAGTGTTTAAAAACTATTGTTTTTGTGGATCCTAAGTTATAAGCAATTCAGTTTTACAATTATGATCTTTTATTTTTTCCTTTTGTGTCAGAAAGCTATGAACTCAACTTTGAGCCCTCGGTTTAATCAACAAATCTTCTTTTCGTCTAACAATGCCTGAAAAATCTTGCCAAGTAGACACAGTCAAAGAGATATCTACTCTGAGGCAGTTGAATTTTCTGAAATCTGTTGCTCTTTCTGTTGTGTCAAACTATCAGATTCTCCCTCCACAAAAGCTTGTCAAAATGGTTTGATGCTGGGCAAATTTTTGTGTTATTTTAAGTATTTCTCCATCCCCAACTAGTACGGGAGTGAGGATGGGTAGTTTTTATTGGATGTAATCCATGTTGCATAGTTTGACTAAAATAAACTGTGGAGGCTACATATTGATTTACCTCTCCAAGGTGCCTTCTACACATGGTCTAGGGGAGAAGACATTTATCAGGCATCTAGAATAGATAGATTTCTTATATCCCAGAGTGGAATGAATGCTTTAAGGATGTGAAACAGATTGCCCTTCCAAGAGTTTTTTCTGATCATAAACCTTTACTTCTGGAGAGTGGGGACTCGGAGGTGAATCCATCTTACTTCAAATTTGAGAACATGTGGTTAAAAGTAGATGGATTCATAGAGAATATTGAAGAGTGGTGGAATAGCTATATCATACATGGGAGTCCTTGATGCGCTCCAACAACG